AAAAAAGGCAGAGTATAACCTTCCTTTTTTACCAAAAATCGACTACACCAAAATTTCTCGGGAAAACACTTTTTCTTATTATTTTGGGTGCGTAGAATCCAAATCAATTCGTACTTTTTCGATCAGACTTCTCAATCAAAAGTTATAGACTAGAAACCAATTTCGAAAGAAAATTCAAATGGCTGTAACTTTTGAACTAGTAGCCCAATCTTGGAACTCTTTGAAATTATGGATTCTACAGGCCACATTCTATAAGAAAATGTTTTTTCCGGGTCGATCTGAGACAATTTTTTTTTCGAGCCTCAAAAAAAGGCAGTTTCCTTTTGTAACGTTCTCGTTACTTTCACTACACTTCTAAACATTCGAAGGGTTTCGTCCGCTTAAAATCTCTACCACCTCAATTGTCTTCCACCTACCGTATTATGACGTAACGGGGTGAATCTCGTTTTGTTACCGTCCCCCTCAGCCTTTACATACTTGGCGAGCAGTTTGACTCATCGAGAAGTAAAAAAAAATAAAATTCGGGTAACTACCGGGTTTATATTGACAATTAGACCAGAATATTACATTAAATTCTTCCTCTTCCACACTTACTTATAATCCCTTACGCTACAGAAAAAACCTAAAACAACAAACTAGCCTAACTCTACGCTACTGAGTTTGATCAAAGGGTTATCAGTGGCCACTCTCTCTGTGATCTCTCTTATCGATTGCTCCTACTTAATTACCTACTACAAGAACCTCAGATATACAATAATTAGAGTTAACCACAAGCTATGATTAAAAAATAAAAAAAAACGATGTCTATAACTGTTCAACCCCGAAAGATTGGTCACACCAAAACAGAGCAAGTTCACAGTACCTGGTTCCAATTTTCGTTGGCGGTTTTCCTCTATTAATCGGTGACGATGCCGGTATCTCCAAGAGAAATCGATTGCAGGTAAACTCACTTCTGGCACTACTCTTGCAAACGTCGATATCAATACGACATTCACCCTTTTTAATATTGACTATTGGTCGATCTTTAGAGATCTTTTTAAACTTTGATTTTAAACGGACAACCACAATTAACACTGCCCGGCCGCTCTATTCGACAAATTTTATTTCCGTTTGACTCTCGAATTTCGCGTTTACTCCTTTACGACACCGCCGAAAACGCAACTTTGCGCCCACGAATAATTCCGCGACCTGCCAGGCGTTCGCTTCCCTGGCCCGTCTTCGCGAATCTCCTCCAATTTTTTCAAAACTCTCCACTTACGCCTTTCATTTCCCACACGCCCAAAGATTGACTCAGCCAATCCATCCAATGAAATTCAAATCCAGCGAACGGACACCACTACTATTGGCCAAATTCACAAATATCCGGTAACATTAAAAACAACCCCCCTCATCAAAAAAAAGAAAAACCGTTCTCACGCAGGTGGACCGTGACTAATTTTGAGATATTGATATGTCGCGTTTTGGGAGAGATACGCATCATTAGTACTCCGAACAGCGCGAAATTTGATCAGTGTGACTGAACATATCTTTGTCGGTAACTTTAGTTAGGCAATCGAGCTGTAATTTATTGGACTTTTTGTCTTTCACTTGGTCCCGTAGTGACCGACAAATGACAACATATGGGGCGTAAGGGTGAGAGCCAAAGTAAGTTCTCGTAGAAACACCCTGATCGGATTCCTGTTTTCTAATCGGCCGGAAAGTTTAACACATGGTGCGGCCGTCTTTGGCATGCCGACGTGTTTTAACACATGCATTTTAGCGCGCCCCAAAATATACCAATAACCCCTTTTTACAAACTAACATCCTACTAAATTTAACCTGTCTAAAACTACCTAATGTACACGGGGCGTTACACTTTTTTACCAAAAATCTACTGCACCAAAATTTCTCGGGAAAACACTTTTTCTTATTAATTTTGGGGCGTAGAATCCAAAACAATTTGTACTTTTTCGATCAGACTTCTCAATCAAAAGTTATAGACTAGAAACCAATTTCGAAAGAAAATTCAAATGGCTGTAACTTTTGAACTAGTAGCCCAATCTTGGAACTGTTTGAAATTATCGATTCTACAGGCCACATTCTATAAGAAAATGTTTTTTCCGGGTCGATCTGAGACAATTTTTTTTTCGAGCCTCAAAAAAAGGCAGTGTATAACCTTCTTTTTTTACCAAAAATCGACTGCACCAAAATTTCTCGGGAAAACACTTTTTCTTATTAATTTTGGTGCGTAATTCGATCAGACTTCTCACAATTCGTGCTTTTTCGATTAAACCTCTCAATATAGGTATAGTTATGTACAAAAAACAAATTTCGAAAAAAATTCAAAGGGCTGTAACTTCTAGTAGCCCAATCTTCAAATTGTTTAAAATTATGGATTCTACGGGCCAAATTCTATAAGAAAATGTTTTTTCCCGGTCGATCTCAGACATTTTTTTCCCGGCCTCAAAAAAAGGCAGTAGGTACTTTTAAGTATTCAAATATTTGAGAACAATTTAGAAATGTTTAGAGAAAGTTTCCATTGTCACAAAATCAAATATAAAAATCCGATACAACTGAATACCGAACGATCTTGGAGTGAAACTGTTTGATTCGATAGTCTATACGTAACTTAAAAACAATAAGGACCTTTCTTAAGACCATGTGTACCAATTTTCAAAGCGATATCACGTTTCTAAACAAACTATCATGCACACGGACAAACGGATGGTCAAAAATGGATCTGTTCCAAAATCGCTAGGATTAATTTCAGAAAGGCGTACGTATCATGTGCACGACGTACGATCGCTTTGAAAACTGGTACACGTATTCTTAAGGATATAACTGGTATATAAGAAAGGTCTTGGTAGGTACCTCCTATATAATAATATAATAATAATATTACGCTTTTACTCCCCTTAAATTTGTATATAACAATAGAAATATAAAAAAGCTAACCCCAATCAAAGTATAACTTGATTTTTTAAGTAGTATTAAGACTTTTATCTAGTATACTATTTTAAATTTTTAATGTATTTGAGTGACAAGTATTTGAATAGGTACTTTTTACTGTATTCGAATACTTTTCAAAGTAAGATAATGAAATACTTTTCAAAGTATTCGAATACATTCTAAAGTATTTGTATACTTATTTTTTAAAGTATTTGAATACTTTTCAATGTATCTAGTATTCGCTTGTGCTGGAGGTAAAAGTATTTAGTATTCAAATACCTTTGATTTGTGTAAAGTATTTACTATTTAGTATACAAATACTTTTTGAAAGTATTCTGCCCAGCTCTAGTTAGTTACATTGGAGGAGTGCAATTTGATTTCTTCGTTGTGCATTCCCTTTGGGCCGACCCACTCCTATGATTTACTTCTTTCAGGTGTGACGCAGTTTATGTTTGACGAAATCCTCCTATTTGGGATTTATGCCCAATTTGTGTTCGACGAACCCTCTTATGACCGACACGAACTCCACATTAGCATTTTACGTTTACCAATCCATCTTGTTAGCGTCGATTTAACCTTTTCGAAATGTTAGAACGCGCCAGTTAAAGGTTCTTGACTTTGGCGTAGAGGGGCAGCGTTTCATTAAATTCGTAATTATTTCGCTCAATTCGGTACGTGTGCAATAAACAAGTTTAAGAATAGAAATTTTCCATAGAGCTTTACGAGCTTTGCGATATTGAGCTGTGACACGCTAAGGGTGGTGGCCGAACGAATGTAAGCCATCCCTAACCGATGGCAGACTCAAATTTTTAATTAACCGTCATTTTTCAGTGGTTTAAGAGTGGCTGAAGCCACATTTTCAGCGGAACACTTGAGCGCTGCCCAGCTTATCAGATTTGTCCAAAGACACGCAAACTTCTGCAAAGGTCATCGAAACAAGGAAAGGTCGATTCTATTTATTATTATAATACGAGTACGAGTAGCTAATAACAATTATAATCTTAATATAATGTGATGGACGCAAGTAGCGCCAGTAGAAGGCTTGGAGAGCTCAGCAAGTATCCACTTGAGTTTTCTGCCCTGAAACATTAGACGTGGGTGATATAACCGTGAAAACTTTGGAAAATTACAGTTTTTTTATAGCTAGCCTTGACAGGTATTTAAATGTTAATGTAAATTAAGGTAAACAATAGAATGCAACACGAACAAGGTCAAGTTTAAGTACAAAGTTAGTGATTTGGTTTTTCCCGCTTTCTGATACGTTGCTCAACATCAATAAGGTATTCGTAATAACGATGACGCCTTTTTGACTCCTAGGTCAGGTTCAATATCGATCTCCTTCCTCCAGTAAAATGTGGTTGGGGGCGCGCTTTAAGGTTAATTGCCTATAGAAAAGCGATCATTACACGCTCCAACAATTGCAATAAATCTCCAAAAGTCCCATGGACAAGATGCTATAATAATTACTTGCGCATCCAAATAGGAAATAAGTCATTTTCACCACTTCCCAAATTTTCAAAATGAAAAGGTTCTATTTTCCTTGTAAATATCGAAATCATTTCATGATAAATTGCGGTTGTCTAGAACTGGTTAGCTTGGCTCAATTGCATTTTAAAATGCCACTTGATCTCTCGATCCGCACGACTTAGCAACCAAAGCGAGAGACCAAGCTACGTCTATACAAAGTCTAGGTTTTTGTAGCAATCACACTATACACTATAGATAGATCACACTAAAACCGTTAGAAAATCTAGAAGTTTTTTCGAGCACAGACAGACAAACAGACCTACGACAGAACTAAAAAGGCGATGTTGCCCATTAGCCCAGTCAATTTAGACCAAAAATGGGCAATCAGAGGAACTAAAAATACTAGTTCCAATTTTTTCAGAAATGTGTAGGGAGAGGTTCCCTGAACAAGAAAAAATAAAGTCCCTCCAAATTCCGGTGCCGCTGGGGGAAGGAGGGGGGCTTTAAACGACCCATTTTTCAGTTTTTCGCTTTTAACTCGAAAATGGTGCGTTACAGTGAAAAAGTTCTTCAGTACAAAATGAAAGCTTATTAAATTTGCTACAAGTTTAGTTATATACATTTGTTCGAAAACTGAACCGTTTTATGGTATTAATGTCCTCGTACCCATCGAATACAACTACACAATTGGAAGAATAGTGATTTATTATATATGAAGCATACCTACTCCTCACAGATGAAAGAGAAAGTGGTCCCAACATTCCACTTGACTCTGTGAAGGAGAAAGCCACCGTCCACTACAGTGTAAATCGTTTTGAGGTGCACTGCATCCATGCACACAGGGAAAGCCTCATAGAGAGCAGATTTCTTCGTTTTTCCTGAAGCATCCTTCGTGGAATAGTCATGGGGTATGGAGATAACTCGTACTTCAGCAGGTTCGGACTATAGGGATGTTAATGCTGTACAGGTTTTATTGTGACGATTTTCCCCTAAAATGACCGGGGGAGGATTTAGAAGCCAAAAATATACGAAAAACGTGAGTGGAAAACCATTTTGTTTAGAAATTACCACCTTTCCGGAGCCGGTAGCACGAAAACGGTTAAGTTTTTCGTAAAGATGTATATAACCAAACTTGTAGCAATTTTAAAACCCTAATTTACAGGTTTGGGGTGGATCGCAACCCACAGCCACTTTCAATGTCCATAAGTTTGTTTTCTTTCAAAATTTTGGCTTGAGAGCTCGAGTACCTTCCAAGTTTAGTCTTTTCTATCGTTTTTGACGTTCTTACGATTTGAGTTTTTATTTTATCACTACTTTTAAACAAACTTTCAAGTTTACAGGGGGTGGATCGCACCCCACAGCCACTTTCAATGTCCATAAGTTTTTTTTATTTCAATATTTTGGCCTGGGAGCTCCAGTACCTTTCAAGTTTAGTCTTTTCTATCTGGGGTTCGTTCCACCCCACGCCCGTAAACTTGAAAGTTTTAGTGGCCAGTAAACTAGGGTTAATAAGCTTTCATTTTGTACTGAAGAACTTTTTCACTGTAACGCACCATTTTCGAGTTAAAAGGGAAAAACTGAAAAATGGGTCGTTAAAACCCCCCTCCTTCCCTTAGCGGCACCGGAATTTGGAGGGACTTTATTTTTTCTTGTTCAGGGAACCTCTCCCTACACATTTCTGAAAAAATTGGAACTAGTATTTTAGTTCCTCTGATTTTCTTATTTTGACTGGACTACATACCACAACGAAATCTATACAGCGCTATCAGACGACACCATTCTCATTAATTTGGTTCAAAAATTAAGTAGGTACCTAATTGGCAGAAGCTTGTCAGCTTGTTAGTAGGCTAAGGTCACCATAATTATCTCTACCGCTGTACTCAATTATTGGAACTTTCTTTGATAGCATTCCAATTACAATGAGTGCCAATTAAAGTCATCCAAAGACTTGCCAGCACTATTTCTAAGCTGTCTTATTATTGCACTTATGACTTACACGCACGCCTATAGTGTTTATAATATGCGATATGTTTGGTTTTACTGGAAGCACGTTTGGTTAACATTTAAAAGATTAATTTTTAAAAATTTTACAAGAAATTCTGACACCAATAATAGTCAAAATCCAACTTTCCCATGATACATTTTATTATTACACCATGTATGTGCAGCTAGCAGAACCTGTTGAACTGCCATTTGGCAGAATTGGAGATAAGAATTTACAATTTTAGTTTTATATAAAAAATTCTTCTGTACGTGTGTTTGTAACTGAACTTCTAAACTGCTGGACGGATTTTGATGAAAGTTTTTTAGGTGTCTCTGTCTCTGTTCCGGATGGTTTAGATTTACAATTGGGCCCGATCGGATTATAGGATTTTTTAAAACTTGTTTTTTCGTTGATGTCGCACTCTGATATTTCGGGTACCGATGGATACATGCGCCAAGTCTCTTGCATTGTACTATACCAAATTCTTACATTCTGATGTACACTCGGTTTCTGTTATATATCCATCAATATCGAGCGACCGAAGTCGCGATGGCAAAAAAAACTATTTTCTACCGGTTTGACCGAAAGTTGGAAATTTAAATGGGACATCCTATACAGTTTTACATTTTTGGATTCTACAGACAATTTAACCTGGTACGTCGTTTTCAGTTATTTATACGAGGTTGGTTGAAAAATTTTTTTACTCTAAGTGACTACGCACGGATCAAAATCGTTCATTGATTCTATCACAAAAACGATATAAAAATTTTACATTTCACCAGCTAAATAATAAGCGATTACTATAAGGTAAATTCGGAAACACGTCTTTTAATCCGGCTCATATTCAATAGGACTGATCCTTGAACTCGTAGAAATCGATTGGCGAAGGTTTGGCATAGCCGTTTCTCTTTTCGTTATCGAGTTAGATTAGGAACAGACGGACGGACAGACGCACAGACAAAACCATTAAATAAAGGGAATTTCTTTCGAAAAATTACCCTTAAAAGCATATGAGCGCAATGAAACTAATCTAATAAATATAATATAATATAATAAAAAATACAACGTTTAATTTTGGAGAAATCGTCAACTTTATTTTTTTATATAGCCCGCAAAAAAGTGTACACTGTATCTTTGAATATATTTATATTCAAAGACTGTATTGAGTATTTTTATTACGAATACAACGATGTAAAGTACAAAAAAACAAGAGCTTGAAACCCTGTTGGTTTCAACAAAATGGTGCACCCGCGCACAACACCCTAATCGTCTGAAAATAATTATCGGGAAAATTTTCCATTTTCCCAAGAAATTTTTTTCGCGCAATTAGGGCGTTGTGCGCGGGTGCGCCATCCTGTTGAAATCAACAGTTCCTAACTTTTGTTTTTTTTGTGAGCCGTCCATCGTTGTATTCGTAATAAGAAATGCTACGGAATACAGTATGTACTTTTTTTACGGGCCATATAAAAAATAAAGTTGATGATGATTTCTCCGAAAAGAAACGTTATACTGAAAATCTTTCAACACTGTCTTGTAGAGTTCAAATTGTGGCAATGAGAAATTGCTTTTATATTTTTTTATCTGGTGAAATAAGATAAAAAAATCGAAAACTACACATTTCAGCTTGTCTGGCGGATCTTCTATGGTTTCGGAGATCCCCACGATAGAATAGTGTATAAAGTATTGGGATTAGAATAATTCACTTTTCATCTGTCATTACTACTCATGTCTTCAGACTATCTATAATATTTGTTAAACCCCCTCGATCTAGAAAAGTACTGCGCATCCTGCATCTTCAACAAGCTCCGACGTCCCAGCCACATTCTCTGTCCGTCTGTTCGTTAGTACGTCTTTCTATGTCGCAAACACTCCAGTTTTCGAAATAATCTACTTCGTCCTTTTTGAGTGCAACACCTTATGGCTTTGACGTTTGGGTACCCCAACCTACCAATTACCTGGATTTTGTGAGCAAAAAGTCCTCTTTCGTTATTTATTGTGCTCCCTTTGCGTTCCTGCAGCAAAGCAAAGAATGTCATGACAACTCTATACTGATTTTCTATAATATTTAACTCTTCTGCGTCCTCAACTACTCTTCCATAGTTTAAACCCTCCTTTGTTTACTTCCATCAATGCCAAGAAGAAGCATATCACAACAAACCTCTACTCATTTTCCCATTTAACCCTCAACTCAGTCTCCCTTTGTTCCTTCTTGCGCTACCAAAACCAAGGATAGTAGTCACAGCAGACTTAGTCTCTTAGACTCCACCATTTTACCCCTCCCGCGCCCTGAACTATTCTTTCGCCCTTTAGATCTCTTAGAACCTTCTACTGATTCTCCATCCAATTTCTGGGCCCTCGACTGCGCTCTCATTTATTTTTTACGAACTTTAAAATCATCTTTCGCTACCCCTTGCGCCACGAATACCAATCATCTGCAAGAAGCAGAGATGGAAATTACCTTAGATCAGTTTCGAGCATTCTGCCGGCTACCTTCTACAGGGGCACCTCTAAAAAGCATTATACGGGTCACTCTGTAATTGGGCGTAAGCCTGTTGAGGGTCTAGATTGTCTAGAACAGGGGTCGGCGACCTGCGGCTCGCGAGCCGCATGCGGCTCTTTTCATGTAATTTCTCCGAATTTATCTAAACAAAGTAGTTTATTTGTTCGAAATTCGCCTATTTAATTAATCTTATTTGTTTACGAAATCAAAAGTACACTTGCAGCAAATCTAATTTGTGACACTTGTTTACTTTCTGGTATTCTTTTGTTTTTTTATTACAGCAGCCTACTCCGATGTATAAACACGTAATTAATTAATGAGTAGGTACTTTTTTTGTGAAAAATATTGAATAACATAAAAACTGCGGGTTTAAGCACAGAGCACCCCTTATAAACATTGAAGAGAACACAAAAGACAATCAAATAGCAAAATAAAATAGTGGTAGTTCCATTTGAAAAAAAATAGTTATAGCACTTTGAACAAATGGCATTGAAACAAGTAAAAATATGCAGGATGTTCTATTTAAACAGTTCAGTTATTTATTGACATCGTAAACATGGGACACCCTGTACATTCAAAAATAATTTCTGTAGATCCGCAACCACCAATATTTGTTACCAGGTATCAGCTATGTAGGAAAAACCGATGCACTGTTGCAGGGCCCTGTATATAGCCAAATACTATAATATTGAATCAACAATTTTTTGTGGCTCTTTAAAAACTAAGAAATTTTGTAAATTGTAATTTTTGGCTCTTCCGTTTCAATAGGTTGACGACCCCTGGTCTAAAACAATAGGGACAATAAATACATAAATAAATAAATAAATCAATACCATGTCACTAGTGTGTTGTTGGGCTTCATGCAATAATTACGCGCTAACTTGTACCTACGTTATCAACTTTGTTAAACAGCTAGCGAGTCCGAAAATTTGACTTATTTTGCTATTGTTTTGAACGTAGGTACCGTTATTCTTATAGACAAGTTGTCGAACTCGTCCATTATTTATAAAGACTTCAGTAGTAAAATGGCTATATGGAACTATTATAGAGAATATTCTAAAAATCCAGATAGACATGGAGGAACCACCAGTGATAAGAAACGAGGGCGGATGTGACGCATTCTTTCCGGGAAATACTATGTTTTTTGTGCGAGGATGTTCGGTTAACCACACAAAATTGCTTTATATCCCAATACATTTAAAATTATGCGGGATCCCGCAAATACCGGGATCCCGCGGGATTAACATCTAACGATCCCGCAAATACCGGGATCGAAATATTGCTGCGGGATTGCATTCCCTAAATCTGACCGTTTCAGACTGTGTCTACGAATGTCGAGCGAGCCGAAGGCGAGTTCGGCATAAATTCGGCTCGGCCTCTTATAGTCTTTGAATGTATCGCCCTATAATTTAGCCTTTAGACAATGCTCGGCATTGGTACAGCCTTTTATCAAATGACAATAAGAAATTCGAGCAGACAAAATCTGACCTGGAAGACAATGCCTACCAATGGCGAGCGAGCCGAGGGCGAGTTCGGTATAAATTCAGCTCACTCTCTTCTAGTCTTAAAGATATCGTCTTATAATCTTAGACAATATACAACGTATTATGCAGAACTCGCCTTCGCCTCGTTCGGCATTGGTGTAGCCGTTTATCAAATGAAAAACAACAAACAAAGTATACAATTATTATCATTAGTTCACTATCACTACAATAATAAGAAATAGCCAATAGAAATAAAGATATGGTTTTGTTGGTTAGCGACGCACAATTACCATTGCTTCTATTGACCGTTTCTTAATGATCTAATGATAGTGAATTCATGTTAATGATTGTATAAACCCACCATAAGACCTACGAATGCTCGGCATAAATTCGACTCGGCCTCTTCTAGTCTCTCAAAGATATCGTCCTATAATCTTAGACAATGTATGTTTTATAAATATAGAAAGCACGAGTTTGATAACTTTTGTTGTTTTGTAAGGTTTTGTAACATCATCGTAATGAGTTTTTATTATTTTCATTAGCACTTTGCATAATTTAGTATAATTTAGCTGGTCTGTCGACCGTAGTATTTGTGAATAAGAAGTCTCACGCCAACTCCTGCTACATGCAATTAACTGTTGGGCAATTAAATATTATTATTATTATTATTATTATTATTAACAATCAATTGTTATTTTCAAAATAACGGGACGACAACAATATGCACCGCATAATATTTTGGAATGTCTTCGTTAATACGAAAAACAATCAATTTTATCTCTACCTAAATACAAAAATATTAGGGGGGAAACAAACAATTTTTTTCAAAACGTTAAGGAAATACGCCTGCAAAATCCCAAATTCCTTTATCCATAACCATACCACATAGAATGATGGAACTAATGGTTTTTTAGGCTCCTGGTCATTGTCGGTTTTTTTTTAATTTCTCAAAAAGTTTGGATTCTTTATTGTTATGATCGAAGAAATCTAGTAGTAAAATATACAAAAACGTAGAGGTACCTATATTAGTTCAGTGGTTGCTGAGAAAGAAGTTATAAAGCCCTTTGGAAACGTAAGTCCGAAACGAAATTTGGTTTGATTCAAAACAGGTACCATTATTGTTGGCTTTCGCCAATTCACGACCCAGTAATTATGAAATAATGTCCCCATTAAATGCTTTGACCATAATATCGACATATAAACAATTTGTTGTTATATAATTTCAAAATGCTGACTATTAACTAGGTTACAATGTGTAGGTAACCTTCTGCAACACAATTACGTTTGCAAATTTGAGCTGGGGTGTTGGACACATGGAGCATTTGGAAGAATAAAGTCTGAAGGTCAATTTCCTTTCCATTTCGTTCTGGGTTTCCCCTCTTATTCTTCGACCATGACCTGGTCTTCTACAACTACATTTAGGTAAGGTTAAGATACATCAGCGATTCCGACAATTATCTATACGGGAAAAAACCAAATCACCATCATATTGTTTCAACTTTTGGAGATTTATTACTAACAACTTATCAAAATCTAATGGAGAAAGTACACAAGAGAAAGTATTTACAAGATTCCAATAACTCCGCAGCCGAGCCGCCCTCCGGCGTTACCAGTTTTGAGCGATTCCTCGTTTCCACCCTTGCCCAAATCGTCTTCGCCCTGGTGTATGACAAGGGCTCGTCCAATTATGCACCGTTCTCCACCTAAACTAATGAGGCCGTCGGTGAAATCAATGCGGGCGACGCCGTCGGGCCCGGCGACGACGTTTCCTAAATCGCCAACGTGACGATCTTGTGCCGAAGGCGCCCCATGGTTTTTCTGTTATTAATGCAATTAACACAATATCGCGCGCAATGAGCGTACTTACCTTGTAAGGATTAAAATGGGGTCCAGCGGAAGTGCATCCGTTCGACAAATCCCCTTTGTCGTGGATGTGAAAACCGTGTTTTCCTGGTGACAAACCACTGATTTCCCCCTGAATTAGAACTGTCGCGCCCTGCTGAGTAAACGTGACGGTACCCGAAACTGTATCGCCCTGTATCTTGACGGTCGCCTTCGACTGAGAAAATGCAAAATTAAAACGGGAACGGCCTTAATAACGACGGCACTTACTACTCCTCCAGCGCGAACGATTGCGAACAACGCGCACAAAACGAAAATGCGGAACATCGCAGCGGTGAAAGTGAGATTGTTAACACTAAAAAGCAAGCTGATTATTTGACTTGCAGAACTCCTCAAATGTCTCTTTATATGATGACGTGCGGGTCTTCAAGTACAACCAGTCGCAGGTTGTTTACGTACTAGCAGAGGTGTGGGTTTCGCAAAACGAACGAAATTATCGAATTAGTTCCCACATATGATAAGCGTATCGCATATATGCTCATTTGCTCAAGGCGCTCATAATAACTTTTTAAATTAATAACATGCTTATCTCTAGATTAACTACTGAAAATAGATAATGCTGTTTAAGAAACATCCCCCAAAATCACTTTCAAAGGGGATTCACATAAAATAATTTATTTCGAAATTAGCAATGCTGTGGTAGACAACCAAACATACAACAATCAATCAAAATTGGTTAAAACGCGCAGGTTTAAATTTTGTAACTCAATTTCGCTGCGTAAACGGTTGAACGCATTATTTTGGACTATCAAATACTTACATAATTTTCTTCCATTTGTCTCTCTGTTTACTTAGCCCCCGGAAAGCTAACTTTATTGTTTTATAGAGATAATTTATAAGTTAGGATCTCTTACAAAAACAAAAAATTACCTACTTAATGGGGCTTCCTAAATGTACTACTATTGCGAGGACTGACATGGTTTTGTTGGAGAAAGATGCTTCTTTGTCTAATTTTTACAATATGCGATATGCTTGTCTTTGCTAGAAGCATCTGTGGTCAAAATTTCAAAAAAATATCTCCATAAATAAGGAGGATGGCATTGCGCAGCGCAAATTAACGTCAAGATTTTTCTTTGTTGAGGTGCCAGAATGCAAAAAGAACCAACTAAATATTTTGAAAACTGTAGGAGTAGTTAAGGCCTCGGACGGACAGATGGAGAAAGTGGCAATAATAGCGCCTTTCTAACGGGCGATCAAAAATGAGTTGCTGTCGAGTCGCCTTTGGAAGTTTAAGACGATTTTCCATGTAAACAAAAATTCCAAAGGCGACTCGACAGCACCTCATTTTTGATCGCATAGTACATGAGTTGGAAAATGTGCTAAAAAATTGAAGGTTTCATATACAATGCGATAAAAAAAGAGTCACCTTTGGAATTTTTGTCTACATGAAAAATCGTACTTAAGTTGAACTTCCAAAGGCGACTCGATGTGAATCCTTTTTTGATCGCCCGTTATTTAGTCCTCACTCCAACCTTGTGTGAGAACGGGGAAAGAATATTTCTACTACCGAAAGCGCACTGCGTGCAGTAAGAGTCAGCTAATCAAAAGCACCTCTCAGCTTCTAGCGCCACCTGTGCATATCCGAGACTGTGTCTTGTTTAGACCATCTTTCCACCCTTTGAGAGTACCCGCCTCCGACACTCCGTTCTGCCATTGAATAAAAATTTTTTTATTCAATGGTTCTACAGATATTTGTACTGAAAGTGTTGAAATCACCAGTAGATATGTCCCGTTACAGACGTCTCACTTGCCTTTTATGAGTAAGTACCCTGTTCTGACAGTTTGTTTTAAGGTATTCGCTTAGAGTGACGTCCCCAATAAATATGTCTCGCCTAGGCGATTAATTTTGCCTTTGTGAGTACTCTCCTCCGAAAAACTGTTTTCGAGCGATTGGTTTTTAAAGTTTTGACATCACCAATGGATATATTTCTTCCAGACGCCCT